TTGTGTGAACTGCTGATTCCTGCAAAATGACAGCAAGCTAAGCACAACATCATAGGTACGACATGATATGAGCAAAATCTGTGTCCATTGGCTTTTCAAGGACTGTTGAGAACGGCTCGATCATTCAACAAAGGTGCTCAAGACTGCTTAACAGTTAACACCCATCTTTGGCCACATCTTCGGCAGTCGACACCCAGTATTTGCCCCGCTCCGAAGTGGATGGTCTTCGACGAGATTGCCGGCCATTCGGCGAGAACTCCTCGCAGTTTCGGCTGGAAACCTGGAAACCTTCGGCCACCGAACAGTTGACATCATAACTTCATAACAGTTCTTTTATGTTCTTTTGAAGATGGTCGATCATGTGGATTCAATGGACCATGGAAGATTCACTGTGGGTTGATATGCAAGTAAATTTGCTTATTCGATACCTGCAACATCCTGTGACTGAACAAGGTAGAAGTTCTCTATCCAAGTATGACTTCATGTGCCCCAACATTGAATCTACGTCAGCTTCTTCTGGATGTGAACTCCATGTCCACCATCGGCCCGTTACAGGCCGATTTTGCCGCCTGCACGGCCCCAATCTTCACGTGGCGCGTGGCGGGCGATTCCACGGCGATGGCCGGTGCAGTTGGGGCGTGGGGAGACACCTGGTAGGTGCTGCCATCATCATTCTCTTCACCTGGTGGCCACAAAGCTTGGGAGAAGAGCTTGGGAAAAGAGTCAAAAGAATTCCTAAAATGTAGTAAGACTAGCATTTGGATAGGGAAGATTGATGGTTTGCCCTTCAGGCACAAATGTTGAACGATGTGAAAGGGGAACGCACGAGATGCTGCTCCGGTGTGTGCGTACCTTGAGTCCTTGCTGTCAAGTGGTTCTGGTTCGCCAATAGAAGCTATCCCTTTTGGTGGATGTTTCTCCGCAAGAAACGACTAAGGCAACTGAGGGACAATCATCTGGAATGGCTGCAAGGCCACTACTGAGGCGCTTTCGCGGTGTCCCTGCCGGACTTGAACCTGTCGAAGCCCTGGAAGAGCCTCAGAAGTTTCAGACCCTGAAAATACCAACGGATTTGAAGGATTTGATCTAACGCAAGAAGCTTTGCCATGCAAACACACTACGAGCTTAAGTTTAAGCTGAGTTTCTTGTGGATGGGCGTCTCTCATCCGCAGCAGGCAAAGCAAGCAAGTCCATCATTGAAGGTGGGTCTACCTCAATCTCTGGTGGCCTGCAAGGCATCTGTAAGCGGCCGCAACAAATGGTTTGCTGAGATTTTGTCAATATCTGAGAAGAAAAAAGGAAGTCGAGACCCGGGTTGTTTCTGAATGAGTCTGGATGAGGCTGGATCACCTATTAGCCATTATTAGCCTACTAGTTTGACTTTCACGTCGCTACATAGCCCCCTTCCATAAAAATAGGCACTGTATTCCATCTAATCGAAATCTGGGCGTGGCTTCGGCAGCCTTGGCACAGGTGCTGAATGCGAAGGCCGGCGCAATCGAGGAAGGGAGGCGGGCCCTGCTTCATGCCTGGGCGAGAATTGAGGCACTTCCAACCTGATCTGTTCCTTCATGGGCATTTCCCCATCCTCTTTTTCACACCTTTGCCGACATGTGTTCCCGTATATACATCGATGCTTGGATTCACATCTCATCAAAGTGGATCTAGGCTAGGATGATCATGAACGTCATGTACTGCATGTGCCAAACTCAAGTTCAGGGCAAATAGAGGGGTCTATTTTGAAAATGAAACAGGCAGGCTCCTGTTTCGGCCTCCTGCTTTTCCAAAAGAGATGAAGTGAACAACTAAGCCTATGGCCCAAAAAAGAGTCTCGACCAAACTCCAAACCCAACACCTCCCCTTTGCCACATCTTCTGTCACCAATCTCCGCTCTTCACTGTGAATCAGGTCACTCGCCAGCTCGAGGCATTTCCACGGTATTCTCATTGAGGGCCTCACAGAAGGAGCGATGGAGTTGTTCAAAAAGCGCCGAACCAGTCCTGATCGAATCGAGTGAAAAGTTTCAGCCAGCTTACAGCCGCAGAATCTTCAATGAAGCTGAATCTCGGACCACTTACACATCATCTGACATCGACACTGCTGCTTGAGCAAGTCATCAATTTCCAAGCAGTCATTCGGGCCGGGGATTCCTGTGGGTAATTGAGATCATTTTTGGGATCGTTGTGAGCCACACCTGGATGGTGGGTCTGTAGACCGCAAGCTGCTGCCAAATCTTGTTGTGCTCTTCCTCCAGGGATGTGCCAAGTATATGCTGTGACCGGCCAAGTTTCACCGCAGTGTCTGCAATGCGTTCAGAGAAATGTGTTAGATTAGCTTGATCAGCACGATCAAAAAGGGATAAATCACTACTCGGGATCGTTTGCGCATGCAGGACACCCTCCCACTCCTGCCAACATCCTCAAAGGCGCAACTCGAGAGTAAGCCAAACAATTATCTTCAAGCTTACTACCTGCTAAATTGATCTCTCAGTACTTTTTGAACCTGTTCCATCTTAGGCCAAGCACATGAGTTAATCACGAACAAAACGCAAAAGACAAAACTAGACCAAGGCTCTGATGACACGCTGGTGTTCCTGCCCATTCCAGTATGCAGCACAAGAATGCTCAAGTGTGTTCTCCATGCTCACTTGTGATCTCTTGCAACAAAGCACGAGCCAAGCCTGTTTCATTTCCAAGGTGTTTCCAAAGTCCAAGTGATTTTGCCAGCGGGAAATGTTGGTAGCTGGACCAAAGCAAATGTTCACATGTTTCATCTCCAAGTCTCCGAGCCTGTGTCAGCTCAAAAATGAGTTGGTCAAACTTCGTCTGCATGACCATTGGAATTGGAGGATGACGTGCACCAGAACACGGGCCAAGGTTGTGTTGTGTTGAATTTACATAGATGAGGTCCGGTTTTTTCCATGGCAGGGTGTTTGAAGAGAATCTTACAAAGTGTTGAAACTCCTCCTGAGATGTCCCTTCAAAGCCTTGGAGTAATTCTTGTGTGCTCACTCGGCATATGTGAGGTGCTATTCCTGTATTGAGATTCTAGGAATGAGCCAAAGTCAAGGGCAGCTGTCAGTGAGCAATAAAACTCAGAACGTGCCATGCGGTTCCTGCCAATTCCTAACAATTGCACACTCGGAGACTTCAAAGTTCATGGCGCACTGCGGCTTGACTCGGTTCCACCTGCACCACCTGTTCCACCATCATCCTGGCGCCGGTGAACATGACCAGCGGCACATCGCAGTCGCGGACGCCCGTGTCTGACCTCTGGGGACGAGGTGGTCCAGCTGGGCGCGGATGGGCGATAATTTCCGCCTGATGCTCAAAGCACAAGAAATGGCCACACAAACATGCAGCCGAATTTCGATCCCAAATTTGTGGCATCCTTAAACCAGCATCGAATCAAGTGTGTGGTATGTTCTGAATATCTCACCATTGTATGGATTTAAGCTACTAGGAACAAGTGCATCGCTAGTAGTAACAGGTGCCTTACTAGTAGTAACAAGAAGCTACTAAATCAAATTCGTCCGAAGCATCACGTCTTCGGTGCTTTGAAGCACCGAAGTCTCATCGACCGTGTGACCATGCCTCTGATTGGCTTTGTAGCCTCAAATGTCTGCCAAATATCTGACGAGGTTTGGACATGGATTGTCAGAAAACAAGTGAACAGTTAATCTGACACATATCTGCCTGAGTATCTGTTTTTTGTCCACGGGTAGACTTGGGTAGACTTGAATACAGCAGGTCTTTCAATGAAGCTCCTGAGCATGGAGCAGTTCCTCCAGGTTTCTGAGGCCTGCCGTTCTGTCTCAAAATGCGCAGGAGCATCTCTTTTTGCCGGTCTTCATGATGCGTTTACCCAATCAAATCCGGGAAGCGATCTGTACCTTTAACATTTTCTGAAGGCAGGAAGCAGTTTAAGAAAGAATATGAATAAAGCATGTGCTAAGTGACGAGGATGAAATGCTGTCGGCAGTCAATGCCCAAAGGGCCCAAAGCAACTCCTCTCACCCAATGTGAATTGCTTGAACTGGATTGCCCTCAACTAACAGTAGACTCGTTTGCCTTCGAGATTCTGGTGTAGCATCATGTCCAAGTTGTGGTTCATACATGCTCCATGTTATATAAATGCTTGGATAGAAGAAACTTTAAGCTTCACTTCTATGACTCTCTGCGTGAGTTACAAGAGTGCTGATTCCCCGTGCCTCACTGGACTCTGGCCCGCTCGCACAGCACAGGAATTCTCTTTAGAACCTGTCCCTGCTGTCCTTCAAGCTTCAGTCTGGGGGGCTGGGGATTGAAGGCAATGGTCCTTCAAGTATTCAGAATCTTCTCATTCTATACAAATATATTAAATATTCAAGAATTCAATCCTTTATACATTGACGGGAAAGTGAGCAAATGCACAAGTCATACTTGTTCTGCATCCCACTCTCCTCACTGGCGGACGCTTTCTAATCATGCTGTAGAAATCTAGACCTCAATGATGAGGGGGGGTCTTTGCGACGAGCATTGACTGTCACATCTTCGTGACTTGAAACTCGGTGCAATCACTGAGCGAGCGATTGCACCAGGGGTCCGGGGCATGACCATGCCGGCGATCTAAGCGCCAGACCATGCCGGCCATGCATGCAGTCCTATCTACTCTTGGCACATGCTGAAAAATGAATTCCTGTGAATCTGAATCGGGGTCGAATGCAAGAACCCAAACCACTTGGGACAAGTCTAGCGAGGCCATCAACCACCTTGTGCCCAACGCTGACACCTTGTGACATTGTGCGAACAGGTCATGACTGCAAGCTTTAAATCCTCATTTGCATCATGCGGCACTGCTTGCTTGTCGACTAGCTGCAGGGCAAACGATGTGGTCAAATACAGCTGACGATTGAAAACAAGCATGTGCCTATCTGGTATGGACACTAAATGTTGGATCTTCTGACAAGATCGACTCCATATGTGCCATCTACCCTCCTCTGGGTATGTCACAAGCACACCTTTTTAACACTAAAATTACAACGCCTGGTGCGAGTTTCGCGAACCAAACGAGTCTCCCATGAAGGACCACCTGGAAGCAGCTGGACTGTTGCATGGCTTCACTTCCGCAGTTGGTGGTCATTTTGGGGTGTGAATTGGGTTCAACTCATGTTGGGTGGTGAAACACCAAAACACAAGCAGAATACGTCTGACGTTTTCTGTCCATACCGCCAAGGTGCTTAGCTGCACAACACGCTACTTCCGCAGTGTAGCCCCTTCTGCGATTCATTCACACTCAAAGACTCAAGCAGGTTAAGAAGCCGTTTTGCTCGGAAAGAATCAGTCAGGCACGATCGGATCCAAACCAGATAGCAACTTCTTCGGTTTCTTGACTAGGCCTGCAACCACATCCCACTACACTGACACTACTACCCTCTCTTCAGTCCAAATTGCTCTTCAGCTTCATCCCGGACATGTGGCCAGAGCTCCTGCCACTGCTGTCATGTATGGGAACCCTTGCCCACCCGCAAGCAGGTGGATCAACCGCCCCAAAGAACCCTGCAAACGGGGTGGTCCTAGTAGTGATGCCAGGAGCCCCTAGTAGCTTCTTGTTCCTAGTAGTACGGCCTGGAGCCCCTAGTAGCGATGCCCTTTGCTCGTTGTAGATGTCATCTCGATCTTTGATCGCCCATTCGATCTGCGCTCAGAGAGCGCTCCGGCCGCCGATGACTCTGCTCTGGTATTTGCTCTGGCTCCAAAGGAGCATCACGCCTTTTTCAGGCGGCCCGGTGTTCCGGGTTTGAAAAGGAAATCCAAGCGTGAGCACGATCACACATGATGCAGTGCAATAGTTTGCCTCTGTTTTCGTCAGTTCATGCGGTTGAAACAAGGAAAGCTAACTTTAACTTGTTGTTGTGGCCCTGGAGAAATCAACAAAAAGGAGACCCTGTATGAGTGTCTGCAGGCTAGAAAGGGTGTCTTGGCCATGGAAACGTCTTGATCTACCCGTAACTAGAACTCCTGGCCTCTGGAACAGCAGCAAATAGTTCCTTAGGCACCGCTGCTTCTGGCCCGCAAGAGGTCTCTTAAATATAAGTTGCCGGTCTGTGTCTGAAGGACTTTCCGTGGTAGAGGCATAAGATACGTCGAAAGCCAGATGGCAAAAAAGGGACTTCTCAAATTCTATGTTCTTTCCAGGTTGGAATATATAACTGGTTCGTCCAATGTTCGACTAGGTCCAAGGTTCTTGAACATCGTGGGCGACGAAAATAAATCAAGAATCTTGAAATGAACCAAAAATGTGCTCAAGCAAGCTGCCACGGACCAATAACCTTCTTTTCTGTTGCCTGGCCGGCTGTACGCAACACTTGGGAGGGGAGTCTGCCCGAATCCTACCAGTCCAAGGGAACCACACGTGCGATTGCTTTAGCCTTTAGCCTTTAGTCACAATATACTTGAAGGCTCTAGAGTGTCGATTCTTAACCAAAAGAAATCAGCCTGCAAACCGCAAACCTCTCCGTGGCATTTTCACGGACCTCGTGTGAGATTCCAACATCAAAACATGTGTCACATCATTTGGCAGCTACCTTTACCAAGATTCCTGCGCCTTGTTGTGGAGCCTGTGAGAAACTCCTTGTTTGATATGTTTGATACAGTCGCCAAGAATCCCAGTGTTTGAGTCTAACAGTGGACAGCTCTCTTTGGATGGAATTCTGACTCCTCAAAGGATCTTTCCTTCCAGTTCCGAGACTGGGATTCTTGTCTTTTAGATCTCAAGAAGCTTCTTTGTACTTGGTTTGTCATGTGTTATCATTGTAGTTCGAAGATTTCTATTTGGTGCAGCAATTTGCAGAGACGAGGCGTCCTATTCTAATCTGTTCTTCTGGATTTCTATCAAGGTCATGTCGCTACAGGTGCTAACACTGGTTGGCCTTGACAAAGGAAAGGGGGCATATATAGTCATAGTCTGTGCTCAAAGGCTATGCCCCTCAGAATTCCACCCAGGACTTCCGAGGACTCATCAGGGAATTGAGATTCACCTGCTCGGTTTGTGATTCGATGGCCTCGGCCCCAGCTCGACCAAGATATTCTGCACGAGAGTCATCAAAGCGCCACCACCTAGGACTTCTGGATCGAAGAATGTACACAGAAGTTACAGCATCATGAAGCCTATCATGATATGTTTTCTCGCTGTTCAAATGCAAGAATCATCAATTGAGATATAGTGTGAGCACAGCATCTCAAACACCTGTTGTGTCGCGCAAGATATGTGAATTTAAGGCTCTTCGCCAAGCGAGCGGGCACTAGGGCCCGTACCCATCAGGACGCAAACATGAGGCTGTGTAGTGCCCCGAGAAAGGAGATACGCCTTCATTCAAATTCATGGGCACTGAACTGGGGAAGTGCAAGCAATGATAGGCTTGCTAAGAACGACTAGTTGAGCTTTGAAGCTTGCTAATCTGTATTGATATGTATTGATGCACAATATGCTGTGAGGCAAAACTCGCCTTCCAACAGCTACCACGACTATATAGAATATCCCAATGTCCCCGTTACCTTCTGATTTGCTCAGCACAGCAGGTGCCTGCATGATCAACTGCTGCGAAGAGGTCCTGCAGCTCGTGTAGCTTCCAAGAAGCGAGCAGTGAGAGGTCTTGCTGGTATGGTGAATCCAATTCAATCCAAGTCATCTCTCCCCATCGATGTGGACCATTCATGTGCAAGAAGGGATTGTGATGGTCCAAATGGCCCATCAGCCCACCAGAATTGTTGCCGTAATGAATATGGTTTGAGTGTGAGCACGTGACGAAGCCCATCTGCACCAAAGTTGCAAAGAGATCTGTTCACAGGACAACTGACATGCACGAGTATCTGGCGTATTGCAAAGACACGCGTTGTGGCGACCTTGGAAAAGCGATACAATCCGCATCTTGTCAGGATGCTGACATCATAGATTTCAGACGGGTGCTCTGACATCAAAATACAGAAATGATCAGAAATGAACATATAAGAACCATCCATCCTGCGGATTTTTTCCCGCACCATGGGATGTGCAGCTCAGGAGCATTTCAGACACAAAGTCTTGAAGATCGAGCCTTCCAGGAGTCCACACCTTCGAACGCTCGCATAGCTCCATAATGGTCCATAGGTCTTCAATGGTGGGAGGATGTCTTTCTCTTCAATTGATCCTCTACTTCTCAAACCTTCTCAACCCCCAAAGTACAAACATGCTAGCTTGAGTCTTTACTTGGATATCTTAAGGTGTCTTCAAATGTCTTAAGGGTCTCGGACTTCACTCTTTTCGAAACCGAACACATGGCTGCCATAAGTGTGTGAACCAGAACTCCTGCGGTCGCTCCGAGCGGCTTGCTCCACCTCCCGTGGTCGCGACCCTCCCAATCAAGCGAAGTCGTCAATGCTCTCACCTCGCCCTCGATCTTCCACGTTGGAGCTCCCCAGCCAGCCTCGGAGCCGCTGCTCGGGCGCTTGTTCGGGCGGCTTTCTGCGCGGGGGCGCTCGCTACTGGGCGCGCAGAAAGCCGAGAAGATGGCCTCGAAGCCGAAGCGCTTGAGGTGTACCAGCAAAAGAAGAGGGAGTTTCCTCGGAAGGTCAAGCTTCTCGTTGATTGAAATGTGTCAACATGTGTCAACATGTGTCAACATGTGTCAACCGTACACTGCGCGCAATCTATCTCCGGAATGATGTATGAACTGTCCAGCTTGGGGAGTACTGAGTCAGGGCTTTTGCTGACACATGATGTGCAAATGCCGCCTTTTGTGCGTCTGCAACCATGTCCCATCTTTAGCGCTACTGCAGAGCAGTATCAAGATGTGCAGACGCCTTCACCTCGAACCCAACAAGACTGAAAGATATCAGATTTGCCAAGGACTGACTCACTAGAAAACTCAAACGGTGCAGTTTACACCAGATTCCTTGCCTATACAAACCACTAATAGCCCGTGCCTTGGCGGCTTTCGGGTCGGCTACGACCTGACGGGTCGGCTACGAGCCAAACGGTTTGGAAAGTCATCCGCGGAGCTGGTGCCTCGTCAACGATGTCAAGGACCAGCTGCCGGAAGTAGGCAAGAGAGTGTTGCCGCTTGCGAAGCCGCAGGCCAGCTTTCACCTGGCAAAGCGCCCCGGACTTCCTATCATATCAGTTCAGTAGGATGCCAAAATGTTTGACACCAAGAACTGACATGATACTGTAAATAGTAGAGACAAATATTCAGGTCTGTTCGTGAGGAAAAGCAGTATTTGCTTGCAACATGGACTTCCCGCCGGGCTCCGCACCCATTGAGAGAGAGTGAGGGACCCAAAGACCTCACCAATAAGCACGTGCCGTACCGGAAACCTCAAAAATGTGTGCATTCTACTTGTAGCGAACATTGCTCCTACTAGTAGTAGTAAGGCCAGGAGCCCTTAGTAGCGTCCTTGCTCCTAGTAGCGATGCCCTTTCCTCCTAGTAGCGTCCTTGCTCCTAGTACCGATGCCCTTTGCTCCTAGTAGCATCTTTGCTTCTAAACTCATCAGACTCCAAGGCATGAGCGTTAACGATCAGCGTCATGTTGTACATGTAGTTGGCATTTCCTCAGCGCCGAAAGAGCATGTCCGACTCCATCGTGACCCTGACATCATGCGAGCATCGCAAACCAAGAAGTTCTTAAGAGCTGGACCAGCGTTTCGACCCAGCCAAACCTAAGGCATGGCCAGCAAGTGTCATGCTTCATCACGTTCTCAGTCAACTGATTTTCATAATTCCCTGAGTTGGTGTCAGCAACCATAGTCGGAACCATGGAAAGGCCAAACATCACTCCACTGAGCAGGAATGCGAAGTACTGCCTGGCAGTGGAGGACGAACTGGGGTCGTAAGGGATTCAGAGTGGCTTTTGAAGTATCAAAAGAGTGGCTTCTTTAGTTCAAAGCCCCTGAGAGTCCTCATATAGTGAACCCTGCGGGATGTCTCATCGGAGGAAGCGTCTCGAGTCGCAGCGTAGGGCGCACCGAGTTTCACCATATGAACCTCTGTCCAATCAAACCCCAATGGACACATTGTGAGCATGAGGTGCCCGCAAAAGCACGCTGTTGGCAGCAAACATGCGAGAGTGGCTGACTCTCTTTGATCAGCTCTGCTTGAACCAGCATTGCAGATAGCATCAAACCATAGTCACCTTGCAATCAAAGTGTTCAATTTCGATCAGACGGTATCAGATTGCCAGACTCACTTCATTCACATCGTGCAGCCCAGATACTTGCGGTGGGATACGGCTTGAAGAGGCAAATCTCAGAAGGTCAGGAAAGAACTCCGACTCGGCTTTGAATATAAACCCTATTAAACCCTGCCAACCTGCCAGCGTGTTAGGCAATCTTGGAAAAGCTGAGAGTCAGACCATCCCCAGAGCTGCACCACAGTGGATGAATGTACTTGGCAAGCTGAACAGTTTGTGTCTACATGACATGAGGCACGTTGGGGGACAGCATTCCCCCCTCATTGGAGCACTCAAGAAACTGATCTCTTGGCGGTTGCCTGAGGCTGCGGACCCTGTGGGAGCATAGCAACCAAGCCGCAGATGCAATGGAACCTGTGACGAGTCTGAAATTCATGGAAATGCAAGCATGCTTGAGCCTTGAAAGAAAACCACACAGTGAGAATCTTGAAAAGCTTTGACATTAACAGTTGATGGTGCGCATGTTTGTTTCGTGGCTGAGGATCTGGCTGAGTAGAAAAGGATGTGTGCATGGAAAGCAAAAATGAAGAGGAGGTAGTAACGCTGGAAGACCTCCCCACAGCTTCCATAAGTACAGTATAGGTTTGGTCCATGTTCCTGGAAGAATGAAAGCCTTCCGAACCCAAAAATGGCCCTGCCTCTGTAAACATATACCAAAACAGGCCCGTATTCGGCGTCAGGTCTCGCACTGCAATCACGGACACAAAGCAAGCCTTGCGTGTCGTGTCGTGTCCACGGATGCTTTGCATCAGTTCTGAATGGCAACACGGCCAAACATTACCGGCCATTGTGCAGTTTAACCATAACTACCTGTGGAAGCAATTTGCACAGTGGAATTGAAACAGAATGTGTGCATATTCTGCATCTCTTTTGTTCAACCTGCATGGATTGAATTAAAGGAACGGATAGTTGGATAGCTCCACAGAAGAGGAATGATAGTGCGGATGATGAGCAGTGACAGTGAAAGTTGGTGTGAGTGAATGAGTGGAAGTGAGTGAATGCCAAGCGACCAAAGCGTGTCAGCAGAACCTCCAATCCCTTATGGACGCAAAACGCATGCAAATGCAGGAGAGAGTGGCAGCCCCCAAGCCGACAACGGTGCGCCGATAGCAGGGAGTTAGGAAGTCGGGTGCTTAGGTACTTGGGTAGTAAGTAACTAAATATATCTAAATAACTAAGCAGGTCTTTCGGTAAGCAAGTACGTAAGTGTGTAAGCACATAAGCAACACACCGACTAAGTAACTAAGTAAATACCTAAGTCAGTAACTAAGTGAGGAAGTAGGCAAGTAAGGAAGTAAGGAAGTAAGTAAGTAAGCAAGTAAGTAAGTACGTAGGTAGGTAAGTAAGTAAAGAAGCAAGCAAGCAAGCCAGCCAGGCAGTCAGTCAGTCAGTCAGTCCGTTGGTGGTGGTGGTGGTGGTGGTGGTGGTGGGGTGGTGGTGGTGATGGTGGTGGTGGTAGTAGTAGTAGTAGTAGTCGTTGTTGTTGTTCTTGTTGTTGTACACCCGAGCTGTCGGTTGGATCCCACTGGTTGTTGGCCTCAAAGAACTGAAGCTCTCCACCCATGGCTGCTGCCGAGGCCTCCCGGTTGCAGCTCGCGAGTCCGTGCGTCACGCTGGATGCGGCGAAGCGTGCGGCGAAATCGATGAGGCGATGAGTCCAAAAAGTCGGACGGCAAACGGATGTGGTCGGTCTCAGGTGGAATCTCAACCCAAACTGTTATTTTTAAGCGAGAAGTTCCAGCAACACAGCCAGGAAGACCCCTAGAAGGCAGGCAAAGAGCCCAAGCGTCAAGCTGGCAAAAAAGACCTCAAGTGTAGAAGTGTAAAACCACTTGTTGCTTGGTCGATGAAAGCATGCATGCGTCTTTCATTCCTGTAAGTGCAGTCAAAGTTCGCAGTATCCGATGAACCCACAATTCATCTGGCAACAAAGGAACGCGCGTCGCGAACACTGCAAATTCACGCAAATCCTGCTGGATGAAGTTTCGTCAGCCCTTGTTCCGCAAAAGCATGTCAGAGAGAACGATTCGCTGTTGCCACGACGGGCTGTACCTTTTCGGCAGAAAGTCAAATCTCAATGGAGCAATCGAGGTTGTGTGTGTGCGCCTTGAGCAAAGCCGTTCGACGCGCCAAGCAATGCAGCCAAGCGACGCGCCAGTCTCCCAGTCTCTTGCTTTTCGGGCTGAAAGTGACCTGGAAAACCCATGGAACAGATTGTCACTTGTCCTTTGGCATGAGTGTAAAGCCAAAGTAAATATATATCATATTGAAATACTTATGCTGCTGCTTCTCTTGCACTGGCAAAATACTCTCCAGGGGTCAATACCTAAACAGCTGCATCTGAGGCAGGTGACTGCTGGTGTGCCAGTGCTGCACAAGGCAGAATCAGCAAGACTGCTGTAAATGGACAAACCTGACAAAAGCGAGCGAGCGAGCAAGCGAGGGCGCGAGAGAGAGAGAGAGAGAAAGAGAGAGACACACACACACACACACAAAAGGAAATCGAAAAGACTAAATGGTCACCCCGAAATAGATACGTTGTTTCAACCCTCTCTTGAAATGTATCGGAAGATCATGTGAGCCAAGAAAGGGCGTCAGGAAACAAATGCATTCGTCTCGAAGCCATCTATGCACACACTGGAATCGGGAGTCAATAGGTCTAAGAGTGAGGCATATAGTGAAAGTGCAACTCCGATGGCAGACAAGCCACCTTTGCCCGCCTTACAGAGAATAGAGTTCGCTTGGCAATTTCTGACTACACGCGGCAGAAAGGTTCTCAGTGTGCAGCTGCAGCAGCAACAATGGCAAACGCAAAGACTAAGTGCTGCAAGTTCTGCAATGACAGAGCAACACCTAACAGATTGGAGCGCTTATCCGCAATTGCTCTCTACAGTTCCCTGCTGTTGCATGCCGAGCACCAGTCTGACAGCCAACAGCCAATGTTTGCATGCAATACCTGCCGGTCATGAAAACCTCGTAGGCTCACTCAGCTTCATGCAACTGGCAATAGTCAAAGGATTGAGCAGGTAGAACAAACCTGAGGATCCAAACACGTCAGTCTCACCTGCTATGTTCACCGTGTTCACCCACTTGTCTTGCAAAGAAAAAAGACATCGGGTCACAACATGGCCAAGCTCATGACCGACAAATGCCGGGCTGATCACATCCTTTCACCACTCATAGATTTTCACAACACACAACATGCGAAGTGTAAAGCACGTCCAACGCAGGTGCTCCTCAATTCCTGCTGCCTCCTTGGCCGCCATTCCCATGGGAGCAGACCTTGGAGTCAGCCAAACGGGGCCCCTAGTAGCGTCCTTGCTCCTCGTAGCTACACGAGGAATTATGAATGGTCTTGGCCAAAAGATACTTGACGCCAACAATATCAACCTACTGCTACAGCTGTGGGGGATTACGTAGCTGACTCGGACTTTGTGCCCGACTCAGCCATGACCCGGCTGCCACTCGGCCAAGTGACGCCTCAGCCCATCGAACTCCTGCTTCTTGGCGTGCTATTCGATAGAAGACTGCGAGCTTTCGCAAGAGAAGCGCTGTGACCTCACCCGACAGGTCCGCAAAGAAGCAAACCAAACATCGGACAGGACACGGACGGACCTCGTCTTCTAAAGAACTCATCTAGACCCGAAAACCTCGTCTTCCGCTCTGGAGAACCAGACCACGTCCACCAGCACCAAGGCAGTGAAATGCACCAAGGGCGAAACCTTGGCATCCCATGGGGCATCCCGTCACTGGGAAATTCATGTTTTCAAGACAAGGAGCGTGGTGAAAGAGCTGCAAGAGCAGAAGAACCAGTGGTGGTGTATGACCTCAGGGCCAACAGCTGCATCCAATCATTGGGCTAGTGCGACTAGTTGGTTTGAAACCTGGAAAGTGTTCATATATGATATCCTTTTGATATCATATGATATCAGTGTCTGGTTCTACAACTTTCTTTCAAAATGAGGCTCAGGTCGATGGGCTCAGGTCTGCGCAAGTATCGCCTGCATAGGGCGAGATTCCATTCTCCAGAAAGAAGAGGCCTTCTTTGAGCCTCACAGCGGAACTGCTGGAAAGCCCATCCGGTTGAGTCATCAAGACGCGTATCTCAATGGCCTCACATGAGATGTGATGGGGCTATTTAGCTCAAGATGCTCCTCGAGCATCTCCGGGACTCTAGCCTGCAAATCTGCAGAATTGCAAGCAATTGAGCTGCCAGTCTCCTCAAATCTGTACTGTAAACGAAAGGACTCAATCTTCCGGTGATTTCTGCCGAGTCTCGAAGTACAGTGCATATCTCAAAGTGATGCCCACAGCACCTGCACAATGACGAACATGGGATCTGATGCACCAGCCAACGAAAGGTTCGAAAGTTCCCAGTCTAAGTGAGCCATTTGAGGTTTGCGCTTCCAAGCCACATGACACGCAAAACCGTGGTGAGTGGAAACCGGGCGAGTCTGCTCTGGCTTACTGCTCTGTCTGCTGAGTGTTGTCCCTTGGACATGCTTCTTTCTTCCAAGGTCTTCAAAAACCGAAGGCTAGAATCACTTGGGTTGACCTATCTTCTCGTACATTGAATCGTGTGGTTGCTACGCCTGCTGATGATTGGCCAACAATGGTCTTAGACTTATATTTTTTTTTGTGAATCAAAGTTCTCAGATCAAACACAAAGAAGTCTCACTGTAAAAGGAGCCAATGGCTGCTGCTGCGTGAAGCGAGGGATAAGGAGGAATGTTAAACGAGGTTTGATCTTTGGACATCTTTGACTCCATGGATCTCCTGTCTTGGATTCCGAGCCAAAGTGAGAGGCGCTTTGAAGCACTCACACGTCGGTCGCACCTAGGCGTGGATACGTCCGTTGTTTTCCTCTCAGAGTTGGCTTTGTGATCACTTGAAGCTGTTGGCACGCACGGCTTTGAACGGTATTGAAGATTCCTTTTGATTGCAATCTTTTCACATTTGCTTCCTTTGGTCCTAGATTCATTTGCTGTCAGGAAGTGAGGAGTGAAAAACCGCATGTGTTTCATCTGCGCGCTGACTTGTAGTCATACAAAGCGTGAAGTGTGTGTTTGATCTCAGGCGGACTCCATCTCACTCTCCGGCTGATCACACTATCATTCTGGAAGAACACATTACATTTATATAGTCATTCAAAGGATGGCCAAAGTCAATGTTGCCTTTCGAGCCAGCACAAGCGACTGCCTCTCTTCATAGTTTGTCCTCCGTATAGTTAGTTACCCACCTGCACACCCAATTTGCCTCCTGCTCATGTTAGACCTGTATCGATCTGCGATCCTCTTCAGCCCTTTGGTTGACCCATTTAGACAAAGCTTCTCAATTGGAACAGATTACCTCGTTGATTCCTTTTATGTTATTTGTTTGCTTGCCCTTTTCCTTCTTGATTGTTCTTCGTGTTCCGCATGTCTGACCTTTGAACCGGCTACAGTGAGCATAAAGGTTCCTTGAGTTTTTGTAGTGTTTTTGACGGTCCACACCCTAGCTCATCCTCTTCACTGCAGGGGTGGGGTAGTGGCCAGCCTGTCCGCCGGTCCGTGTTGCACCCAGAGATTGAACCCAGGTCCGACGCATGAGGCATGCGTCACGGCCACTAGATTCCACTAGATCATACCGGCCCTCAAGGTTCGTTGAGTCTTTTAAATAATGCTATCTACAAGGAATCTCAACATCATCAACCGCCATTCCACCGATGATGGCGGGCAAATCACACCGGTGGAAATTGGTCAAGCACATACCCGGAACCTGTACTTTGAAAGAACAACAACGCTTGCATCTTTTTGTAGGCCACGAACACGTGAAAGGCAGCTTCTCATCAATGCTGGCTGCTCTCTGGGGTGCCCAGCCGGGGACAACCCCAACAATCCTCCCCTTGCAATTTCTCCTCGACACAGAAAGCTTTGATGGCCTCCTGGCACCGCAAGCTCAAAATTGAAAAATACCTGCAAAGCAAAGCACCAACATCATTCAGGAGGCTTGCCTGAATGTGCACTGTTCGCCCACCTGCCATGTGGGGTTGATTAAAGGGGCTACGCCGCCCTACCGTTTGGCGACGAAAGAAGCAATGGTGCACATCATTCTGAAACATGTCAGTGAAGCGCTTCAGCTGAGGGGGCAGTGGTAATGTCAGGAAAAGAAATGGATCCTTGCACACTCCACTTTCGGGCCATCACTCTGTTCGCTTCAGGCAAAGTAGCTTGACTGCAGAACTGCAGTTAAGCTTGTGACAAAGGTTACCGAAGCACATCCACACTCGCAGCATTTCACCTATAATACAAGAAAGGCATGCATCGCACAAAGTCTGCTGCCATCGCTGCATAGTTTTGCCCAAGAGCTGTTACTTCATTGGAGTCATTTGTTGCACCAGAAAGCATCGGAGTCATTGAAGTGCCTTTGGAGTCGATCGTTCACCCCGCACCCAACCTGTGACCGCAGCTGGCCCTGACAGAGGTCCACCACTAGGGATCGGTGTCGCTGTAGATGGTCATACCAGGCCTCTCACGGAAGCTGTGTTGAATCCTCAACTCGGCAGCTGTTCCCGGCAGCCCTATTTCACAAACCCCATCCAACCCCCGCCACCAAGCCCATGAAGCTGGCCTCCGCAGCAATACGCTCTTCCGCTTTTTGCACTTTGTCACAAAGAACACTGCGAGACCCCTGGAGGGGCAAAGAGGTGCCGCTTCCAACAAGAGGGAGCTTCTGCCGTCGGCGCTTAGCTCTCCACTGTCGCTCGGTGCTTCGGCTCACGTATACGGTTGAGATCCTGGGATGCTCCGGTGGAGGACAACCAAAAGGATTCAAAAGGTAAGGGAGACTGGAGACTCTTGATTAATCGAAATCCGCGACCTGAACAGCTCCACTTCTCCGAATTCGTTGCCGAAGGGCCGATGAAATCATGGATGGATAACGCAAGACGGCATTCTAGCAGTCAAAACGGACGCACTCACACGGTACATGATGTCGTACGGTATCATCCGTTCTTGGGCCTGGTGTGACGCTCAAGATACGGACTTCTGATACGATCCATGCACTTGGCGCATGTTGAAAACGTTCCGCGTTTATATAAAAGGGTGCAATTGTAATATAGTCATAGTGTAGACTCTTGATGAATACCCGCCCACATGAATATGCTGTTGTCATTTTAATTTGCTGCAACATGTGCTGTTGTGACCCGTGTGTCCACACATTTCGGTCCACCCACCTAAAGTGTCGTGCGTGGATTCGGAATGAGGGAGATAGAAGAGGTTTTACCATCCAAATGAAGCCTCTTGATAGGGGTGTTGTTCGGATCGGATTCGTTGGATCGGAATCTATTTGGTCAGATCGGTCTTGATAGCTACCCGTCAAGTTCTGTGACGTCTCGTCTCACCTCGTGTAGTGCGTCCAAGAGGAAGGCCATGACCTCCACGACCGGTGAAGAGTTGGCACACGACCGACCGATGGCAATTTGAGCGTGGTCTTGCAGGTGACATTCACGGATGTTTGCAGTGAAAACTCAAAAACACGTCAAAATTGTCAAATGATGTTCAAGGGTTTCTACCAAGTACGCGATCTTGCAAAGGATACACCAATCGCTGCCTCTTGTGCATCTTGCTGTGTCCCTGGCCTCGAGTCACTGTGGATCTTGCAGTCTGCAGCAAATCTTGAAGTCCACGTTGCTCGTTTCACTTTTCTCTGACCGCGAGCCGTTAGCCGTTAGCCTCCTTAGCTATTGGGCCTTTTGGCTTGGGCTCTCTCAGTCATCCGCTGCTCTGCTACAATCGGACAGTGTTTGCAAAGAGCCCTGAGGAGCTCCTCACAGATGTCAGCGCTAAGTTCAACCTCATTCAACTTGCTCAACATATTCAAACAGCTCCACTATGTATACCTCAGAAGGGGGGACAACAGCCAGAGTCGGCGGGCGTCGCGGCACAAGACACATGGCCGGCAGCTTGCGAGTCAGCGGTGCCGCGGATGCAGGGGGGCATACGTAATGGTCATGGAGGGAGCAGAGAAGCAAGCCGGGCGGCTGTGGGATAATTTTGGTAATTATGAAAGAAGTAAGTAGTGAAAGAGAAATGCAATACGTTGCATGTTGGTGTAGGTCATCACCACAAGGCAATGGCATGTGTTTGTCACATGCAGGAAGGTATGCATCTTATGGAAGTTGGAAAGCGACATCAGCGTTAGCGAAGGGGAAATACCGTCTGAGTTCGAGTGGTGGGATACCACGTGCGCGCGCAGGAAGACCTTCTCCATAGTCAGTGTCGCCGCGCGCGCGCGCGCACGAGTACGCCGTGCGATTGAAAAGAAGCAATTCTGTGCTTGTTACATTTGAATGTGTTTGTTACATTTGAATTTGGAATGTTTGAAGTTTGCAATGCATAGCGCGGCACGTCGAAAAGCGGCATTTTTTCGATTTGGAAGAGTGAACGGGCACGTCTTAGCCGGGACACGGACACTTGATCCCGCGGCGCAGAAGGGGAGGTCCAGCGGGAGTAGCTTGGGCTAGCAAAGGAGTGAGGATTTGGGCGCCTATCGATGCACATGCCTGGACTTGAGTGAGTCATGTTCGGCTCGATCCAAAACACCATCTTTTTCCTTTAAAGGGGCCTTTATTAAACGATCCAAACACATTCTTTATTCTTCTCTTTCTTGTCAACTCTGCGCCTTTCTCACTCAGAGGCCTTGACTTTGGCACCTGCGTGTGTAGATCTTTGGGCCGTGGACCCAGGCTGACTGGATTCGGTGGGGGCTGCCAGCAAAAAGGCGACGTCATGAGTCAGTATAGAATTTATCTACTATCTATCTATCTATCTATCTATCTATCTCTCTATCTATCTATCTCTATCTATCTATCTATCTATCTGTCTCTCTCTCTCTCTCTCTCTATCTATCTATCTATCTATCTGCACCGGCAAGCCGGAAAAACGTTCGGTGCACGTGGACGCTGCGAGAAGCATCCGCTCGACCGAGGAAACGGTACAAGTATAGTAGAGGCTAGGGGGGTTGTCCTGGGAACGCGTCTCCTACGCGCGGCTGCGGTCTGCTCTGTACATGGGTGCCTGTATAGCCTCCAAACCCCTTCATGATGTTAATGATGCGCTACTCGGCGTCCATTGCATCACTCGCATCACCAGACCCCATTTTCACTACTGCTTTTCTGACCCTCGCTTTGGAGCGCTCTCCCCCACCAAGCTCCGGTTCACCCTCTCAAAATGCTCTCACCACCCTCCCCCCACCCCCACACCCCCTTAACTCACTTTGTTCGCTCTAAAAGCTCAAGCCTAGCCTATCGGCTGGCTTTCGTAATATATATATATATACATATATATGTATTTATGTATCTGGCGCTTTAATACCTTTCAAATGCCCGTTGCTTCAATACCTTTCCAACCGATTGCTTCAATACCTGTCCAACCGATTCCAACAGCATCTTTGGCTGCTCCACTTCATGTCCTCCGGCGCAACGGCCAACTGATCTTTTCCTGGAACCAGTCATCACCGGTCTCCACATGTCTGCAATGAGCAAAGCAGGTCAACCCGCCTTCTGGAAAAAGCTGCTGCAGCAATGAGGCAAAGGCTGAAGCAATTTCCTGAGACCACGGTCTGGCCAAGGCCCGGTGCAAACTCGTAAACAAAATGCACATGAGTTTGTCACTCAAGAGTTTGCAAGCAGTTACAATAATCTGCTCTTCCACTTGAGATTGATGAGACAGCCATTTCTTCCTGCCGCACTTGAAGGATGTCGAGTCAAAGGTCTGCAGAAGTGAAAAGCCGTCTTTAAAGCAGTCTTTCACCTTCCATTCCTGTCCTACTCAGTCCTACTCAGATTCCTGACCTTGACAAGGGAGATCCTCGCATGAGCAGCACAAAAAAGGTCCTTTGCGTCGCTCCGTTGGCCCTTAGACACTCAGTCGGGCAGAAGCGCAAGTTGACCTCAACACGCGTCACGCCGCGTCACTTCGTCTCGAGTGCTGGGCACTCCGGGCACTCGAATTCTGATGGTATTGGGTGGGATCCAGGCAGAGCCACGAGCACTCGGTGACTTGTAGCGACCCTATCGGGTTGCTGAGGTTTTGGTGCTAGTCACAATCATCCTGGATCCCGTCATCTGTGCAGTGGAAAAGCCACATTCGTACCCAGCTGCCGCCAAGCAGGATTGTTTTGTTTCTTTTCCGATGGACTGTTGAACCTAATGCTTCTTACCACTTGGAAGAGTCATTGAAAGACCACACTCCTCCTGTCCAGTGTGGAATGGCAACCAGGTGGAGTTCAAGCGCATTGACGCTTGGATCTAGGGATTTACCGTCGCATGAAAATCTGCGTCGGGGTGTCAAGAAATAGCTTGAGCTTCTCTGAGCCAAGCAATTCAAGATTTCTTGAGGCAAAACCATGGCAAAATTGATGGGATTGGTCAGATTGCTTTGTCTGGTCTGGCAGATTGTTCCTAGAAAGGGACAAACCTTTGCGTAGCAGGCAATATTTCTTTCAGGGCCCCAACATTTGGCATCTAGAAAGGTCACCAGGGTCAGAAAGTCAAGGTTTTGTACTCTCTGCCCAGGCGAAATTTCACTACGCAGCAGTTCGGCCAGGAAGCACATTGGCTTGAGCTCGGCTGCGCTAAGGCGATTGAGGATTCCAGTGGAGTTGGGCAGACTTTCGCCTTGGGCTTGGGATTCACCCCGTCTGCTGCCCAAACACCGAATTCCGGGCAATCTAAGTTGACAACTAGGGAAAGATCTAAGTAAAAGCTTCAAGGCTATTCCGTACTTGTTGAAGCCATCTGCTCCATCATGCCTCCACAGGATTGAAGCAATCGGTTCAAAGCACTCAGTCGGGCCATCCCAATTAACCCTATAGGTTGGAGGCCATCGCTTCTAGGTTGGAGTAGGTTGGAGGCCATGGCTAGTAGGTTGGAGGCCATCCCTACTAGGTTGGAGGCCATCTCATTAAGGTTCTGCAGCTGAGCTCCCTAAATCGACAAAAGACCATCCCAAGCCTGCCGCAGCAGTGGCAGCACCTGAATCAAAGCTATTAGGACCTTGTCGTTGTCTACACGAAATCCACAGTTTAAGATGGTGGTACATATTGGGATTTGGGACACTTACTGTCCTTCACATCTTACTTACTGAAAAAGAACAAACCCTCTCTGGTTGAAGCAATAACAAGCCTCAAGCTTGCAGAAGAGTCAAGCTGTTCCGCCCTTTGGAACCCCGGCCGTGTTCGCAAGCTGTTGGCCCAGCAGCTGAGAGCCCATGGGAGAGAAGTGAAGCCTGGTCACCGGCAGAAAAACTGAAGCATCGGCCGAAGGCTTTGTGGAAATCGTCTTTTGCGAAGGCCATCGGCCGAAGGCTGCTCCTGCCTGTCTGGATCCCAGGCTTTCGCTACAGTTGCTGGAATGAAGTGGCCCGGGTCAATGAATGCCTGCGTCTGCGAATCGGCGCTGGAGTTGACGCAAGAAGTTTAAGAAGCAAGCAAATTGTTTGTAAGAATTTGTAGGAAACTTTCACCATAGCACTAGAAGACGTGTAGTAAAATATGTGAAAGGAGGTACAACAGGCATGGTCACACTGTGGCCAACTGCTGTCTGCAAGAATCTGCCGACGTCTGGGCTTCAAAAGGCGGGGTAGGAGTGCGCAAGAAGGCAGCTAGTCCAACTGTGGATGTTTTTTTCTGTTTAGTGGGAATGACAAAATGGACAACTGCCCCTCTTCAAAATCAAACCTAGTTTCCATAACCTGAGACCAGCGCCAAGCACCGTCCCAGGGCACTCGCACGTTCTTCGCCGTGGAGGACCACATGGCAATAAGATCACGCAGGTGACGACGGTTCCCCTCACCAGTTGGCAGATTGGCAAACAAATGGAATTGAGTTGAGTCATGTTGAGTCTATTATCACTATATATATATATATAACTATACACATTAACACGCAATAGCAATGAGTGCTTCGATCCGTGCTGAAAGTTGGGCACGGGATTGGAATCAACGGCGTCATTCACTTTGTCGAAAAAGAGGGGACTACCCGTTCTTACCCTTTCAATGAGTCCAAGAATGGGACCTCAACAAAGGCGTCCATGGGAATTGGCGGGGGAGACAATGCCACAGAAGGCACCTCAAGAAGGAAGTGAAACGTTGAGTGAACGAACACCACACTGAGCACGGGCTGAAACACTCTAGCTGATCGTCTTAGAGCGAGCGATGGACCACTTGTGTACTTCCAAGGTCTGCACGCCATGCTTCTTGCAAACTTCGTGCAGCTTGATGATGTCCTCCAGGACAGTGCTAGGCTCCACGCTTTTCCTAAGTCTCAGAAGGTCTTGCTTTATTTTCAACATGGGATGGGTCAAAGGTGTGGATGTGCAACACCTTGAAAGTTGTCTTGGCTTCTGGCCCGATGTCGTTTGTGCCAGTCATCAACAAGACCAGGTCAAACCTTGAGCCATGGCCAAACCGAAAGAAATCTGAAAGTCCTCACCCAGTGGCACCCAATTCAGCCTCTGATATGCACTTCTTGGACCAGTGCTTGCCTTCTATGAAATATGAACGAAACACGCCCAAGGTGCAACAGGTGCAACGCAACAAATCCATTTGTTGAAGGACTGTAAGGCCGTTGGAACATGTGTTTGAAAAATGTAGCCGTTGAGGCAAGTTTGAGAAGCAGCGAATCGAGGAGCGGCTACATTGAGCAACTTCATCGTCTTCGGCAGCTCACTAAAAAATACCGATTGGGAAACAACACCCGTTAGCTGCTTCACCAAATTCTATGCACCAACCAACGGAGTCCTGCAAATTTCCCCTGATAACGCATCACTCAAACTCGTCGCCAAGCACCATATGTTTCCTCTTGGACAAAATGTTGGAAGATTTGATGCCTTGATGCCTACTACAAGTATATGAGGGAGAAAGTTGTGAAGGTTCATACACTCTATAAGCTAATCCCCAGACCAGTGAAGGACCTTGAATCTGCATGGAAAAGGCACAGCTATGCACCGCTAGCAAATTTGCCCAACTTGTCAAAGGCAAACATCCAGGTAGACAAAAGTTCACAGTTCTTGCCATGCAACGGGCGTGAAGCTTCCATCAAGCTCCGGCGCAAGCCCTGGCAGAAGCTGGACACAGTGGCAAATCAAGCAGTCCACATTGGAGCCCTGAGATCTCTACTGCTTCATCCGGGGTTGTCTTGACATGTCCAATCCCCTTGCGGAAGGTAGGGCATTATTGAGGATACAGTTCCTGAAGTATATTGCAAACTGCTTTTGTGGTGCATGCCGGGTGCAACCCCCTAAGCAAACAAAAGGTTGGAGGCCATTGCTATTATCGCTTCTAGGTGCTAAACTAGGGGGAGGCCATCGCTTCTAGGTTGGAGGCCATTGCTATTAGGTTGGAGGCCATCGCTATTAGGTTGGAGGCCCTACAAACATGTTGTTTCTACAATGAATCGTGAAAAGGCCACGGAGTTTGCAGGTCGCATTCCAAATCTGGAGATTCCTCCTGCATTGTATTTCACCATCTGCGGCCTTGCCCACTTGTCCACCAACATCAGTAATGGCGTTTTTATCCATGTTCGCGACCTCATACACCACTGACTCCTTCAAGGCAGATCAGCCCTCCTTGCCATCAGGAGCTTTGCTGCAACCAAAGGAACAAGAACAGCAACTGATCTAGGCTGGAGACCATTTCAGAAGCTGTGTGACCACTGTGCCCACACACCAAGACCTGGCAGACTTGGCTGCTTAGCTTCACAGGACACATAAAGCTCCCAAGTGCAAAGGACCGGCCTCACATGGAGCCTTCAACAAGGCTCCCAGAACTTTTGCCAAGCTTCTGCCGTAGGGCTCGAACTTCATACCCTGGCAGGACATGTTGACTCAACTGTTGACTCAAATTGGGTTTGCCAGGAAACCAAGAGCTTCAAAGCTCTCACAATACTGAGTGTGTTTGTTTGAAGCGGTGACATGTGACGAGGTGATGCCTCCTGAGTTCTGATGCAGCTACTGGGGTGACATCCCGTGATCTTGGTGACGTGGCGTGTGCTGTCCTGATTCCTAACCCAATGCATCTGACACCTCGGTACATCCTCCTGGGAGAGTCCTTTTTGAAGTATGCTGTTCCAGATTCAGATACAGACTTCTGGCATCGGCAAAGTGCGCCAGCAAACTTGCCCAATGATCGCAATCACGAATGAGCACGCAGCAACAGCTGGCATCCACATCGGAGAATTGTTCTGCCTATACATATATATATATACCTATCACAAATTTCAAGCAGCTTGCAGCAGCTTGCTCAAAGGTTGCAGCAAAGCACCCCTCAAGGAATCACCACAAATTTAGTGGTAGGTCTGTGTCCTTTACTTTTGTGCAGGTTTTTCCAAAGACCTTTGTAGTGTGATTCGCAACCTTCTGCTCCTTTTCCCAAAGAAACTGTGACCTGACGTAGCCATTCCCTTGCAAAAACGCAATCCTCTCATATGCTCCCCAATTCAACGCGCATCCCGTTCTGCTCACCGCACACCTGTCGCCCGAATTCTAAGGGCAAAATGCTGGAACCTGTCCCGAAACCGGTCCCACACCTTTCAGTCCCTCAACTCTCCATCTCACGCATTCTTAGGCACATGCGCAAAAGCAGAAGCCTATTAAAGGTGTCCTTACTTTCTTTACTTTCATTTCTTTCTTTAGATTGATGTTTACTCTTTTCATACAAAATCCAGATGCAACTCTTCGTAACCCGCAGCTTTCTCTTCGAAACGTCAAAGTGTCGTTAAGGCTGGCACCCCATTACAGAATCCAGCGGTGAGACTGTCGCCGTAACCTCGAAACAGGGCAAACCAACCAACTGTGGCACTGAGTTTTTGGCGGATGAAAAGCACGGAAGCACAAGATGTTTGTGGGTTCAAGACATGTTTTCGGGACAACGCAAGGGATTCTATAGTTGAGCCAGCCAGGCCCTGAGAAAACCAATCTCCTGCCCTGAGACTCCTGCAAAGGATGCTGTACTTTGGTGAGCCCGATGGAGATGGAGATCGGAAAACGATCTGGGCAGTATCCAATGCGCAAAACATCCCGATGAGACCTATGCAGCTACTTCCTAATCCTTGCAAAGGTGTGCAAGTCTGTTTATACTGTCCGTGTCACATACAGAGTAGACAGTTTTGTTATATAAAGATCATGCTATTTTCCTTGTCAGCTTGGTGCTTTGTGGAGAAGGCTCTCCGAGCTTCCCGCACACACACCAACAGCATGGCGTAGGCGTATGCTGATATGCCAAGGACAAGGCCGGCATGTGGCCCAGATTGGGCATCTTCTTGGGCTGAGCTTGAGTCAAAGGTCGCTCTACGTGATGGGCCTTGGAGCTTCGATTGAAGCAAGGTGGCCAGTCACGGAGTTCAATGAGACATGTTCCGGCGTAGGGCATGGAGGAAAGAACTGGTCCAACAAGTCCAAAGGCAGACCATAGTCGTATACAGATATGTTATATATGTCATATACAAATACATACATAATATTTGTTTTGTTTATTTATTAATTGTTGTATCTATCATATCTGTGTACTTATGTTCAGGATTGAGGGAGCAACAGTCATTGTTCTTTGCAACTCCCATCTGGGTCCCAAACCGTTGAATGAAATTGGATCCGACGGGAGCGGTTGCCTCCGATGATTAACACAAAAAGGCAGTTCACGACTTTTGCATGTGTCAGTGTGCTTCCTCTACAGAGTCAACCACTGCCTCTGCTGCCACGATGTCCGTGCGGTGCATGTGGCCCATGCGTCCCTTGCGGGGTTGTGTGAGCTGCATGTTCCATCGCGACCATCCTGCATATGCTACTCAAAGCAAATCGTCTTCATGCATAGATCCCCGACTGGTTTGACTGTTGTTAGAAATTCCTTTAACGTCTTAAGCCGCATTGGACATCTGTCCTGATCCAACAAGACTTTATACTATATATGATTATGACTATTGGCTTCATAGACATGGTTGATTGCTCCAAACCATTCTTCTATCAGCTCGACCAGCTCGTCCTGCATGTTGGCAGCACGCCTCTCGCTCCATGGACCACATGTTTCTCCTTGGAGCAACGCGCATCGGGCAGAGTAATGTGCCACCAGCCACACGAGAAAAACCGGCGTCCACTGCGTCCGAGCTTCAGTGTGGGAAGCCTTCAGGAGCGTTGGGTAAGGCACAAGGATCATGGCCCACTCTGCTCTGGAAGAGTTGAAGCTGGCTTGAAGCTCAAAGCAACCGAGGAATCAGGTGTAATCAGCCATACACTCTCCAGGGGTGAAGGGATTTCGACCTAAAACCATTGACCATCGGGCATGGGCGATAGGTGCTTCCCCTGATCGTTCTAGATCACATGAATCTTGTAGCCACAACCAAACAAAAGTCGTCAGAATCGCTAAACGGCCAATAGAGTGATATGTGATAGCCGATATAGCCCATTGCCCAAGGGTCCGACCCCCCCAGTGCCGAAAGAGTTCTCGGCATTTAGATCCTTCAGAAAGTGCCTAAGAGCTCGTGCAAGCATGTTAGTTGGTTAGTTGAGAAACGGTCCACATGTTGCGTCTCAACACAATAAGGCTAGGACCCTTTGAGGAAATAGTCCGCCAACAGTGGCGCATGTGCCAGAGACTGCATGGCGGCATTGAGGAAGCACCTGAGGCGCCACAAGGAGTTCCACTCTTCAACCTGAGCAAAGTCTACAACCTGAGTTCTCGAGCGTGTTCCCAAGGTTGTAAAGTCCTACAGGCTCACCTGCCCTTCGCCTGTCATGGGAAAAATTGTTTTGGCACATCACGCAAAATGATGAGACGAGACTGAGACTGAGAGTTGTTGCTTGATAAAATCATGTGGGTGCTACATAGGAAGCTTTTGAGGTGGAGTTTTCTTCTAACAGTGATCTTTGAGTGCAAGTGGACAGAAATGAATCACAAGCCAAGATTGACGCCGGATAATATTGCACTAGTGTCAACATGCAAATGAATCAGCGGCAGAAGGTAGAATTTCTGCAGAAGTCCTTAACGAAGAGTATCCTCAAAAGCAGGAATATGTCGACATCTTGCAAGCGTGGCTTGGCAGACTTGCTGCATTTGCTTGAACTGGACGTGCCCTGCGCGCAGCAGCAGCACTGCTTAGTCACCCAAGGAAAGCTGGATTCAAACTCACAGTATATAATTAAACTGTGGCCTAAGAAAACGTCCTGCTCACGACTGTTCACCATGTTTCCCAATACACTGGATGAAAAATAAGTGCATATATGAATATAGGTGCTTCGGCAGGAAAACGTTGCTGCATACACAAATACGTACAAAAAAGATTCATACAATCAGCACACAAACCTGCTACCAAAGAGGTGTTCTATTTCAACTTTGAAAAGCAAGTTTCAGGCTGAGGCATTCAGTCCGACTCCGCCGGTGTCACAAGAAGAGGCCTCTGAAGGCAGGTCGTCCCGCACCACCATGTGAGGTGGTTCGGAGGAGCCCCTTCGTTCCCTGACGCAGAAAAGAGTGATTCGAGGCTCATTCAAAGGGACAAAAATTATACCAACATAGACCCCAGATAGCAAAAAACATTTGTGGGCGGCAGCAGCACCCCACAGCGGCACCAGTACCATAGACGTCTGGCAGCAACACCCTGCAGCGGCACTCTGCAGCGGCACCCTGCAGCGGCAGCAGCATCCAAGCTCCAAAGCGCATACAGCCATACACTCCTGCAGCGGCACCAGTACTCAGGCTCGAAAGCGCAGGCGCACACCAGCACCCCTTCCTATACTTCAAGTAAGAACCCCAATAGCTCTTGCTATCTGGGGAATAAAGGAAAGCCAAGGTCCGACTTGATGAAGCTTGATGCTTGATGTATGACTCTATGAGAGAACCATGTACTTTCCTCTCTGATGTTTTGGAAGAAATTGGATCACTAGGGCCTAGGGAAGCCACACAACCCAATGAAAAGGAATATGCCTCATTCGGTGGAAGAACTCGAACGGACTGGTGCCACATATGCCCACCCTGCGGCTGTTCGGTCACACGGAGGCTGTTCGCTCTTCAATGGGCGAATTCCTGAAGTCAAATGAATGACCTTCCTGAGGTGCTCGTTGCTCTAAGTCTCTTCTTTCCTAGCTCAGGCTAGTTACTTCAGAGCCGTAGACCACAAGGTGGTGGTGCAGCTGTCGAATGTGGAACCTTTTCGAATCGCGGATGTCACAATGGGTTGTCGGTGTCGGGCCATGTCAGAGTCCAACTCTTGGTCTTGACAGAGACATGCGCTGAGCAATCAGAAACCAAGAAGTAAGTCATACAATGTCTTTCTATTATATATGTAAAAGGAGAAAGCTCTGTCTTCACTGCCAGTCTGACCTCTACAATACGAAGTCAGCTTGATCTGAGGGACATAGGTCGAATCTCAATGTTCCTTCCATTGGGTAAACGCTGTGTGCTCTTTTTGTGCGCTTGCCTATGTGTGGCCTCCCAGACATCCGAACGAATCGCTGACACCCACCGGTTTTCACAATCATGTGTGTGTAGAACATTTATGAAAATGTACGAAAGGGATTCAACTGTGCTGAAAAATACCAATGTGTGTCACTTGCACTGATGCCACTGATGCATTTAGGTGGGTGAAATTCTGAGCTGCCACATCTCATGCTTCACAACGGCAGCGCTTCCGCTCTTGGTAGCACTGGTAACATCGCAAGCCGGTTAATACCTGGGTAACGCTTTGCACTGCCTTCGGTCAACTGTCAAGCGGATAATGGTCACATCGGTAAGCGAGGCCCGCACGGACATTTTCGCACAAGCCCTGGCATTTGTTGCAACGCTATGCTTTGACAGAGCCTAAAATGAAATCGGTGAGAAGTTCCATACTCAGCCCCAAGTCTGAAAGACGAAAAAGAAAAGATTATTCAGGTTCCTCTGTGATTTGGTTGTGAGGTTTTCACCTGTTCATCCGGCCAGGAGGTGGATTTGCCACTAGGCGCCCATAGCCCGTCACGCCTGCAGTTTGCGCGTAACGTGCAAAGGTGAAATGAGAGAAACACAAACCCCCAAAATACGGTTTTCCACTTGGAGACTTGCTTCGGAACAAGTAGGTCATTCATGCATCAATCCCTTGACTCACCTTGCAGATCGGCGTCTTCCTTGGCAAAAAACTCTCCAGCTAGGATTCAGGGAAGGAATCAACCCATGAAGTCAGCTCAATTGCTCAATGTATTTGTTGAACAACTAGAGCTAAAAGCAAAAAGTGAGCAGCTTCATAGAGAACCACAGTCCTGTCACTTTATGGCTCTGACGTCTGAAGACTCTGAATCGCTGGAGCTGGACAAACTACCTCGTCATCACAGATTGAGACATGAACCTCAACGTGACATATTCGAACAATGGCAACAACCGTAAAAAAAAGAAAGAAACATGAGAACGTCATGGGAACATCCTCAAGTTGAGAGGTAAGCAAACAAGCCAACTCTGCAAAACAGGTACTGTAAGACACAGCACTTATTACTTATTGCTGTTCCTGTCGCACGCTGAGCCCAGCTCTTTCGGAGGCTGACCGTGCCGTCCGGTTGGCCCGGTTGGCCTTGTCCTTCCGTGCCTGGAGAGGGCGCTGGCGGCACTGGCATGCACTGACCCTTCAAGAAAAGGAAGCTCCAGGTGTGGGTGTCATGGGTAAGGGATCAAAATAGAAACAAAAATAGAGTCAAAAAAAAATATTCAACGGGGATCAATAAAAAATAGAAAGGTAATCAAAAAAAAATATTCTAGCCCACTGAGGATGGTTGGGGTAGTAGAGGAGAGTGTACCTCCCCAGGAGCTCCCTCCTAGTAGGGAGCTATTTCCACTGGTGAACCATTTTTCGAGTAGGGCTACTCAATGACTGGACGGCAACCTTATCGTTGGGTACCTACTTTCTTCCCAGGGAGCTGCCTCTAGTAGAAAGCAATCAAGCCTCTATTTGCGCAAGCAGGGGACCAGGAGATCGACAGACGAGCGCCGTAGCAGAGCAAAAGGCCAGCGGACCAGGAGACAGAAGGACTAGGATACCAGGGGACCAGCAGACCACAGGACCAGAGGACCAGGAGACCGGAGGACTAGGGGACCAGTGGACTAAAGGACCAAGGGACCAGGGGACCAAAGGACCAGTGGAGCAGAGGACCAAGGGACCAAAGGACCAAGGGACCACATTACCAGAGGACCCGCAGACCACAAGGCCAGGAGAGCAGCAGAAGAGGCCTATCAAGGAATATGTTTTTTTTGATTCGCTTTTTTTTTTGATCCTGTTTTAGTTTTTTGATGCTCTTTTTATTTTTTTTGATACCTATGCCGTCAGAAAGGCCTTCTTCTGCAGCTTCTTTGGCAGCTCATCATCACCTCAGCTTGGCATCTTTTCGAACGGCTATGGCCTGTTTCAAAAACATGTCATGGATTGATGTCCACTATCAGTATAACTTTGGTAGGTCACGTGCTGCTGAGCCAGCCGTAGTGACGTAGTGCGAGCACAAACAATGAGGCTTCAATAAAATCAAACACAGGGTTCCAGGCCAGGGTCATCATCCTGGCAAATGGCATCTTTCTACACCAAAGGAAAGCCATGGCATCATTATATATGCAGGAAAACTGTACAGTCATCCGTACGGATTTGTCTGCATGCATCACGACGTTGGGATTCTTGCACCTTGCAAGCCTTTTGTGCACCCATTCAAGGACCCAGTCAAGTATACCATATCGGAAGTAGGCCTGGCAGCTGACCTGCGGCAATCGACGTACAGAACTGGAAAAAGACCGAGTGCTCCGGCAGCGACGACAGTCGTTCGCCGTTCGCGTGCTTCGACTCCAAAGCTGCAAGTTCCCTCAGCGCCTCCAAGTTTCCCAAGTTATCCCTTACCCTGACATATGCATAGACATCGCACATTCTGATCTTGTTCGCTTTGTATGGTTGATTTGTGAAGACAGGTCAGAGCGGCTTCTGGTAGATCAAGTCCCGGAACGTCAAGACCTGGTTCAGTACAAATTTCAGTACCTCTGTTTCTCCACGGCTCATGTTCTGTGCTGTCCAGCCTCATCTCGGCTGAAGCCCTCGGACAGCTTTACATGACAGGCTCGTGCAATGACCAATGCGGCAGCTTCTGAACCGCTGCCTGAGAGGAATTCAGGATCTATCTTCTGCAGTCACTGGGTCACGGTAACGTGTCCTGAGCTCACTGAGGTTGCCACCAGCTTTTGACACCTGGAACCTGGCTCCATTGAAGTAGAAAAATGCCTGGCTAGCAAGTCAAACAAGTCACACTCTCTTCCTATCCATGGGAAAACGAACAAAAGCTACAGCAGCACGCCAGGAGGTTCGTGGCTCTGCTGGGTCCTTAAGCGAGCCACGCTCCGACACGGCTGGGCGCTTCCCACTTCACAGCATCATGCGCTGCATGTCCAGGAGGGGCATCCTGACCAATGTCGCACCGACAAAACAACAAGGTGCCCTTCAAAAGACAAGAAATTTGTTTTATATACAGTATATATAATATATAGTGGGATCGGGAAATGTGTGAGCCAGTATGTTTAGTCATGGTCATGCTTCCCTTTACCAAAGAGCCTTCGGGGGTCTCCCTTTTCTGATACACCCAACATGTTGGCGACTGCTTTGCCTCCGGCAAGCAACTGAGCACATCCAGGTTCAACTTGTCCATGTCCATCTGAGGCATATCTTCCCGCCTCAGGCGCAAGGGACCACTTCACCTCATCTTGAGTGCCTTCGACGTAGTGTGATAGGAAGAAATGGCGGCAAAATGAAGCAACCTAAGTCAACACAAAGCTTTCTGCCTTCTCTTTGCCGTTGTTCCACGCTGCGGAACCTGTTCAAAGGGATGGTGTAGAACACATCAACGCATCAATCCGCGTTCTTCGAGACTCCACAGAAAAGGCTCAAAACCTGAAGAGATGGAGAGGCAAGAGCTGTCTACCTCCACCATGTTCTGCTAGTACAGTAAACAGTGTGCTCAGGATCGACTCAGTCTTTGCGGCTGGCGTTTTCTTGTCTCTTCACTCAACGATGTCTAACTCAATTTGTTTGGCATTGTGTGACTTATGATGACTAGAGATAAGCACTTTCCAGTGCAAAAGTCGAAACAAATCATGATTGAAACTCTATCCCTCAACACCTTGCCAATCGCAAGAAACAGCAAAAAACTGTTTGTAGGACCCACCTGAACGACAGATCGATCAGCCTCCTCCATTTGCAGCATTACCTTGGCAAGCGCTGGGTGCACAGAAATGTTCTTCCGCTTGGCTTCCAAAGCGCATCGACCTCCTTGCGATCTTCTCCATCGAAAACCTTGCAGGGCAGGATGCCATCCTTGCTTTGCTAAGTGAAACGAGAAGGCGCAGCAAGGTTCAGGGTTGGTGTCCTGCCTTCCAGGGTTTCGTGACTTGCCAAGGAAATTCAGCTTTGTCTTTCACATAGGCAAAGTCACCTGTAATTGCAGCTCAGATTTTGGGATAACTCGACTCGATGTCGGCATGCCACGTGACTGTGATCCACAAATAAACATGCATAACCAAATCTGGCCTTTGTCGGTCAACGACTTTGCGATCCGCCATTTATCCTGAGACAAACTCCCCGCATCCACGAAGCGAAGGGTAGAATCCGGGTAGAACAACGAGACTCCAGGTCGAATTCGTTCCTTGTCCGCGTGAAAGAACAGGATGCTTGGCTTCGCCTGAGCCAGCAAAACATTGCCGCCGTAGCTGTGACAAGGCCAAGACTTATATAATAACATATGAAGTGTGGTCATACACATCCCAGCCAGACCAATCACCAAGGTGGACAGCGGTGGCAAGGTGGCAAGGGATCCCCCAACCACGGTCAGCGAGGTCGACAGTCGACATGCCAAAAAAGATTCGATCAAAAGTCTCAAATTCATGTGAAATCCAATGGTTTGCCTCAGAGCATCAACGATGTGGACTTGTGACTTTTCCCTGTTTGGTTTGCATTTTCAAGGGAACAATTGACTGCGGATACATTG